TGCCACTAATCAGTTATGGATGTGAATCAGAGATTCAATGGATTGGGGACTTGGTTACGTTAGATTAATCCAACACTCTTTTGGTATATTTTCTCTTTATTTCATAAAAATGTTTTGCATATAGTTTTTATCTATTTTTATCCCATGACATTATCATGTAAGGGATGATCACGCGGGTGCACAATCAAGAAAGTAACACCTAATAATTGAAGCAATAAATAGATTGTGGGAAATATAAAGAACTTGGATGCGCAAGTAAAGCAGAGCATATCACCATCCATCATCACAAAATTTCTGCAAAGTATGACTTAAGAAAATATGCAAACAGAATACATGGATGTTATGCATCATTGTGCATGAGTTAATGACTAACTAACACGAAACCTCTACTAAAATTTTTGTACTTTTCTCATTTAATTAACCTGCAAGCTAGACTTAAGAAAATGCACAAGTGAATCCTAAAATTCTATATGATGGGAATTGACTGACACGTACTAATTAAATTACTAAATGATATGCATGACTGATGTGATTATATGACATGCACGATGAGATCCAAATTATGTGTTATGGAATTAATTCTAAGTATTATCCATGCATGTGCGTCACTAATTAAAATTAATCCTATATGACCTACCAAATGCCATGCGATGTGAATTTTGCAATCTATACGAGACTCTCTAATTCAAATTTTTTGTTCTTTTTCTTTGTTAATTGACAAAAGACAAGTGACCCTAAAGATCTTTTTGTTAAAGAATATCTATTAATTCCTAATCGTTCATGAATGGATAACCTAAGTTACTACATGATTAATGAAAATACAATCTAAGTTCTGAATGCAAGATGGCATATTTTAAATGTATGGCGTATTAAATATGCAGATCTAAGTCAATTAGCCTATATGAATGACCTATGGGAAATCATGAACTTATTCTATAATTAAAACTACATGAAATACTATTTTTTGGTTTTTTATTTTATTATTTGTGAACAGAAAATTTAAATCCTAGGACACTAATGTGACCTAATGAGTTTAACACTAAATTATCATACGACTAATGACCTAATGATGCAATAACTAATTCATTTCTATTTTCTTGTCATGCTATACAAGTTATATGCAAAGTGAATAATGCATGCAATGCAATTAATGGCTAAAGGTATATACATGATGTGATTACTAAAAGTCGACCCTAGGAATATATGATTTATTACATGACGACTTGTTTTACATGATATGAGGCTAATTAACCCTAAGTCTACATGCAGTATATCAAACCTAAATGACATTTTTAACTTGATTTTTATTTTATTTTAATGAAAACTATGCATTATCCTAAATCTATGTGCATTAACATTCATTGCCCTAAATATGAGAGCCCTACAATATGAATTATGGATGTGACATAATATTCCAAACCTTTTGAATTTGTGTCAATTGAGTTTATCCGGCCAATTTTGATTGGAAATCGCTGACGTAGACGCCGACTGTCCTACGTGATTGATGTGGACATTTTAAAGAGTATTTTGATTTTTTATATTATTTTTTATGCTTTTTTCTTTTCTTCTTTTTACTCTTTTTTTTTGGGGGGGGGGGGGGGGGGGGGCAAGCGCCAACAAGGGGAGAGGTGATGCGTGGCGGCCCTTGCCCAATCTGGGGGGGCCAGGTGAGGGCATTGCAACCCTCGCCAGCCCCGGGCGAGGGTGCAATTCCCAGAGGCGAGGGAGTTGCTGCCCTCGCCCTATGCTAGGTGACACTCAACTGCGGCCGGTGAGGGTTGGCTGCCAACTCTTATCGGACCTTAGGCATAAAAAGAAAGAGAAGAAAAGAAAAAAGAACAAAAACTATAAAAAATAATAATAAAACATTCAAACTATCATGAAAACATTATTAAAAAATATTTACGTCAGCTTCGGTCACATCACGTAAACAATCCACGTTAGCAGTTTCTGGCCAAAATTAATCGGATAGACTCTATTGGCACAAATGCAAAATCTTTATAATTAAATTGATCCAATTGAAATGTTTAGGACTAAATTAGTAAGAGAAATGCTTATGTGACTGTTCTGAATCAACTGTGAGAATAACAACTTGTTTTGGGCCACAAAAAAATAAATAACAAATAATTAGAAATTATTGTGGTGTCCACTTCTTCAAAAATTTGTGGCTCACTATATGATGTTATTTTAACAGTATCCCAAAGATTATTATGCTAGCAAAGCCCATACGTTTATGAGTTTTTTGGTACTTTTCCGAGCTTTAGCCAATTCTGTGAAATTTTCTGAGAACTTCTCTATTGCGTCCCCACTTCATGCTCGTGATTCCTTTGTATTTTGAAACTCTCCTCCCTTTTTTTAAGATGTCATTCTCCTCTTTATATATGCGTTGATCTTGAGTGTAAAAGGCAAGAGAATATCTTGGAGCGGTCGTGAACGTAGACAACGCTTTGATGGTCTCGCTGATTTGCCTCTCCTCTATTAGTGCGTAAATAATGCATGAGGAACAACCGCTCCACTAAATCTCTTTTGTCCGCTTCCCCTGTTGTTCATATTTTCCTTTTATTCCTCCCCACGCCGACCGATCTTTGCCTTTTTCGTTCCTCTTGAGATATGGATCCAATATCTTCCAAAGAGCGTATCGCTCTCTGCTTGTCTCTCTCTCTTTGCCGATCCTCTGGCTTTTTCCCATATGGAGAACGTCCCCTCAATCACGGCCATTTTTTTCTCATTAATTTCCGATTGCCCCAATCACGCGCCCGCTTTTCTTGCCAAGAATCGTATGTATTCACCCCATATTTTCCTTTTTGCTTCGTCCCATAATATTGCCGAAAACCAAATTTCCCATCTTATACTTTGCCGAGATTCTTTATGAAAAAGTGCCAAAAAATTTTTAAACCTATCGCATTGGATCAATTTAGTACTAAACTTTTCAATTGGACTGATTTAGTACTAAGTCTTTTCACATTTGTACAAATTCAGTCCATCTAACCAATTCAGACAGGAAAATCGGTGACATGGATGCCGACTGTCTTACGTGACATGACCAATGCTGAGTTGATATTTTTAATAATATTTTTATAATTTTTAATAATATTTTCCTTTCCCTTTTCTTTTTGTTGGTTATGATGGCCAATCGCCGGCCACTTGCCACAGGTCATGGCTAGTGAGGGCTGGCCTCGCTTGGGCAACGGTTGGCCTTGCCAGGCCGCGCTTGGGCGAGGGCTTGCTTTGGCAAGGCCCCCCTTGCTAGATAAGGCAAGGCCGACCCTCAGCTAGGCTAGGGCGGTCTTGCCACACTGCGTAGGGTCTCGCCCTTGCCTAGGTGAGGCCATCCCTTGCCAGCCATGACTTGTGGTTAGTGGTTGGCGATTGGCCATCGGCACTAGCAAAAAGAAAAGGAAAAGAAAAGGGAAAGGAAAAAATCATAAAATTATTAAAAATTTCGAAGAATTTATTAAAAATGTTTACATTAGCACTGGTTGTGCCTCATAGGACAGTTGGCATCCATGTCACTGATTTTTTATCTAAATTGGCCGGATGGACTGAATTGGTACATGTGTAAAAAAGTTTAGGACTAAATTGGTCCAATTGAAAAGTTTATAACTGAATTGGTATTGATACAATAGGTTTAGAACTGTTTTTTTTTTATACTTTTCCCAACTCTTTACTGTGGGTGCTTTACTTTTCCAACTCAGACATCGTTGGCAGGGCACACGTGAAATTCAGCCATGCAATCCATCACCAAGCCAATAAAATTTATTCAATGCAGACATGCTTTAAAATGTCTAAATGCAAGGCAATATTAATATTTTTGTTTAGGGGTCATAGTTGATCCCTAAATTTTTCGTGCCATAAATGACTAGGTGGAAAAGTCGAAATTTCATTGTCAACAATACCAACTTTTAGAATTGTGGTAATGAATTTTGTTTCTCTCATCTTTTGATAGAGTAAAACTCTGTATCTATGTTTTTTTATGTGAACCAAAGAAAACAAAAGATAAATAAAATAGATGTCCTCAAACTTATATTTATATTGTCAGTCAGTTTGAAAACTTTTTCTTGATTCAACAAATTGTTTACACAGCTATACGTAACGCAAAAGGTTATTACAAGATGTAGTTTTGCCAAATGAAACGTTTTTCTAGTCGGTTAAATTAGGCATCATGCAAAGCACAATCCATCCATAAGAGTTTCAGTTAAGAAAATGATTGCCAAGGTTGTTTCTGTAAAAGAATTATACCGCTTTGAGTTTTGCCCTTGTTTTGTTGAATTGAGTGTAGATTGAGGGGACGATTGTCAAGGACAAACGCGAGACTCGTTTCAAATTCAGCTATGAAAAGCATAGTCTACCCTATGCATGATTTCTGCATGAATTATTTTGTGTGGGTATCATTACTCTTAGTGATATCACTTTGTTTTTTTTCCTTATACTTACTGGAAGAATCAGATATTTCACGCGCGTGCGCGCGCACTCTCTCTCACACACATTCACACAAATGTAATTTCCCCTCATTGACAATCCACAAGATTGGTACAGTCGGTTGATATGGTTGAGGGATTTCCAGCTTAAAAACTGAAGGTTATTCGTTCGGAATTCTACTACGCATGCAAATTGCTTTATATCATGGCCATCTTCAAAGGCCAAAGGCCTAAATATAACTGGTTCGTGGGACTTCTAGGTTGTTTCATGTATTTCCAGATAATCGGGTCCCCATACTCGCACTCCTGGATTACCAAAAAAGAAAAGAAAAAAAAGGCATGCAATTGTAGGAGTGGTTTAACAGACTCACCAATAGTTCCTTTTGCAATTAGGATGCACAGTTAACACTTAACAGGACCACATCTAAAGAATAACCCCACTAAAAGTAAGATAAAACATCGACAAAATATCTAGGTTTGCGATTCAAATAAACATGATTTGGACAATAAAATTAAGAAACATAAAAGAAGCTAAAAAACGTCAAATTATTCCATGGCGACGCGGACATGAACCATATGGAGAGAACGGTGAGAACCGCCGGACGCGACCGGACCGCGACGAGCCCGGCGATCCGTCGTCGATCGACGCGTCCTCGGTGGAGTGCGGGCCGAGCTCGAGGGTTTCGAGGGGGGCAGCCGAGGAGATTGGGATGGCGGAGAGGCTGACGGACGTCTTCGTCGGGGGAGGCGACGGAGATCTGTTGATGCAGCGGAACGATTGGGAGGATAGGGTTCTGCAGGCGCTCGATATGCAAGTGGTTGGGGCCTGCCGCGCGGATGAGAGATTGAAGCCGTTGTTGAAGTCGAGTGGGTCGAGCAGCGCGGCTAAGGATCGGTTGTTGGCTCACCTCAGTCAGGTACTTATTGTTTCGATCCGGATTAAGTGTCTGTCTGGCTCGTAGCGTTAGGACTAAAGACTCCGTTTCATTCACATTTGATATCTCGAGTCCAAAGGGACAAAAGCAGAGTGGGCTGTTTCATGTCTCAGAATGAGATCATGATGACTGTCTTCCCCATTTTCCAACAGCATATCGAGCCCCATCTTGTTCATGCACATGTAAGTGAATCTGGGATTATAAGGCCGAAATGTTTAATTTTAAGTGAATTTTTCCTAATTTGCTCTATCATTTAGATAATTTATCTTGGAGAAATATGAACTGTTAGATGCTCCTTTGTTCTAATTGTCTTCTTTGAGGGTTAACTTTGGTCCTGCATTGCAGCTCAAAATTCGGAATGACTTTGACCCGGCCGGTACTTTCTCCTGAGAGTTCACTGTTTCTTTTGAAGAGCAACAAACAAGTAATAGCACTACAATGGCTCTGTTGCTCCTATCTTGAATATTTATTTGTTATGTACAATGAAATAAAATGCCCTTCTATACTAGGTGGCTTATCAAGATATTCTAAAAATTCTGGACCGTGCAAAGATCTGCAGTTCTGCTCAAAATTTCATTGATATATACTTGCGGCTTCTTGGAATTCCTGCCAATGGACAGTTGCAAGAGAGTGACTGCATAAGAGTTAGGATATGTGAGGGCAGATTCGCCGTACTGATACGGGAGGTTTGTGATGAAGTTGCAATTATCATCTTTCTACTTCCTATAGCTAACGGAAATACTAGCTTCTCATTCTCTTCTAAACAATATATGTCAGCCTATAAGGGAAGGCAATTTCATTATTCAACCCAAAGTAGATTTTGATATCAGCGTCAGTACAGTTGCTGGTCTCTTGAACCTTGGGTGAGTTATATAATAGCTGGTCTAATTTACTAACTCCTTTATTTACTGCAGAATTTTATATCAATTGAAATTTAAGTTTTGTAAGATCTTGTAATGTATCCTTATTCTCGTGATCTAATGCTAGTGAGCTTGACATGGTTGTGTTCTCTCAAAGTAGATAGCGGGGACTCTGTCTGAGTAATGCTTATTTAAAAGTTTTCTTATATAATAACTTTAGGATCTCTTACTATCAATAGTTCTGGGTACATAGGAAGGTGTTCATTTTTTTGAGTTTCTACTGGATATTGATGCCTTTAGAGTGATAATTGAACAAAAGAATGATCCCTTTAAAGTTTTCATGCCATATACTGACCTTAGATTAGTGTGTAGAAGCCATCCTTAGTTTTGACTGTTGTGGATTTTCTTGAATTTTTATAACTGTCTGCTCAGGAGCATTTTCTTATATGCGGGAGTGACAGCAGAATTGATGGTTCTTGTTTTCTGGTTATGTGCGAGAATATGCCAAATGCTGAATACGGTGGTGTCTGCTGTATATTCTCATGCGAGAGAAACCTAGTCTGTAGAAGTTTCTTGATAGTGATTTCTGATTCTTGAGGAAGAACTGTAGTTTTGTCTCTCGTTGGGTGGAACAGTTTGGAATGCCTAAACGAGGAAAAGCTTTGAGGATAGAAAATGATGCTGATTTTAGATAGATTTGTTAAGTATCCAACATTGTTTGTTTTTGGGTCTTGACTAGGCCTTATGTACACGTTATCTCCTTCCACCTAATAGTTTAAGCTTTTGGGTTTAATATCTTAACAAAACATTAATATTTTATTTCACCTGTGGTCCTTGTCTGTCTAACCGCTTTCATCGTTCCACTTCCCGTTTGCACCTGAAAGGGTATATTTAATGTCCTATATCACTTGTCTACCAGGCTTGTTAAGGCCTTATATATATTTTCCCTAGGCCGTATAGCTTAAGGGCATGTCTACAAGGTATATTTAGGCCTTGTCTCTCTACACCTTATAGCTTACTGTGCACTCATTTGACCATTTTAAACCCAAAACACCTAACACTTTCATAATGACAGAAATGTTGACACATACATCAGCGTTTAGTTTTTTCATTACTTTTTGAAATTTGGATGTTATTTAAATTTTGCCGGGAAAGGAAAAACGTAGTTTTTGCCTATGCTGAAATGGAAGTGAACAAGCTCTAAGTTTTTGGGTTGGATATTCTGACAAAACTTTTCTAGAAATGGACCTGTGAATGTGGTGAAAGCTTTAGTATTTCCTTAGCTAATAAGACTTTCCGCGCTAACAGAAGTATAATTACCAATAGTTCGAGGGCAGTGTCAGGAAAACTTCTCTCATTCTTTGATCACTTACTGAGATGATTGTCTAAGGCAGTTCAAACCTTGCATTGGACCCTCCAAGCTAAGAATTTCAGAGTTATTCATAGGAGTCACAACTCATGTCTTCTTCTGCAAGGAATAGAAAGGTGGAATGAAGATACCTGCATCTTCTAGCCAGGATACGACTCGATGGAACATAACCTGTCGGGCATACATAAGCCTGTTTATTGATCTTTGATCAGGGGAGAAAGCTTTTCTCTTTTCTGACATTAAGACTTCCAGTAGCTTGATACAGTTTTATAAGAAATTAGATTCAACTTCCATAGTTCCAACAGAAAATGGTTCTTCGACTTCTTACCACTTGCTTCAAGAAGTTTACATTAAAGTGTTTGGACAAAGAGAGATGTTGTGATCTGTATCTCACAGCAATTTAAGAGGTGCCTTTCCCTCTTCTCCTTCTCCTATTCTTTATGTGGAAACAACTTTTGTGTCTGTGTCCTTGTTCATTATCTTTGAGTATTGAAGCTGTGGCGAGAGTGAGGAAAAAGCCTCTCTGGAGAGATAGAAGAAGATTGATCCCATTTGATTGCCCTCCCCAAACCTCACAAATAGGAGCCTCAGTTGCTGCAAAACTTTTTGGAATTACTAAACAACTATTCTTTCTTTTACATGTCCCACACGTGTGCATTCCTCATTTAAATTTTTACCTTTATCTGCTACTTTGAAGAGCTCTTCATACATGCACAACTGTTATGGATGCACTCTAGCTTCCCTGTGTTTTGGGTTCGGTCCACTTGTAGCTGGTGGCTTTGGTTTGGCAATCTGTTAATAAGACTCTCTCTTTCTCCCTTGTCTTCTCCAGGTATCAAGCTGTGGCATATATCGAAGCTTCGGCCTTCATATATCAAGATGGGAAGGTTATAATAGATGACAACCTTTTATTTTCCTTTCCTTGCTGGGTACAATAGTTGACAGCTTATTAGTAGGCAAAACTTCTTGCATCTTTTATATGTGCTCAATTTGATATGTTCACTAAGTGGCATTCGATCTATGTGTAACTGGGGCCCTTTCATTTTGCTGACTTTTGGAGCTTGCTTATTTAGTCCTGTTTTCTCAGTACGTGCAAATTCTATGAAGTTAATCTCGCGAACAATTTGATATGTACACTAAGTGGCATTCTCCAGGTATCTTAGTTGCAGCTTTTTTTTTGCCACTTGAATTTTGCGACGAATACAGTTCGTGGCAAATTAGCCACGAATTTTTTTTATAAAAAAAATAGAATATTTTTTTTTGTTTTTTAGGGGCAAATTAGCGACGAATTTTGCGACGAATACAGTTCGTGGCAAATTAGCCACGAATTTTGCCACGAATTTTTTTTATAAAAAAATAGAATATTTTTTTTTGTTTTTTCGAGGCAAATTAGCGACGAATACAATTCCTTTCCAAATTAGCCACGAATTTTGCCACGAATTTTTTTAAAAAAAAATTAGAATATTTTTATTTGTTTTTTCGGGGCAAATTAGCGACGAATTTTGTGATGAATACAGTTCGTGGCTAATTTGCCACGAATATTTTTTATAGAAAATAATTTTTTTTTGTTTTTTAGGGGCAAATTAGCGACGAATTTTGCGACGAATACAATACGTGGCAAATTAGCCACGAATTTTGCCACGAATTTTTTTTATAAAAAAAATAGAATATTTTTTTTTGTTTTTTCGGGGCAAATTAGCGACGAATTTTGCGAGGAAAAAAATTCGTGGCAAATTAGCCACGAATTTTGCCACAAATTTTTTTTTAATAAAAAATATAATATATTTTTTTGTTTTTTAGGGGTAAATTAGCGACGAATTTTTCGACGAATACAGTTCGTGGCAAATTAGCCACGAATTTTGCCATGAATAATTAGCGATGAATTTTGCCACGAATAATTAGCGACGAATTTTGCCACGAATTTTTTTTCGTCGCAATTTAGCGACGAAAATTGAAATTTTTCGTCGCTAAATTTTGCCACGCCGTATTAGCAACAAATTTTTTTCGTCGCAAAATTCGTTGCAAATTCATTTAGCGACGAATTTTGCCAAATTTTTCGTGGCAAAATTCGTGGCTAAAACCTTATTTTTTATTTTTTTGTAGTGCATGTCTTCCTCTCCGGGCGACCATCTCTCTCTCTCTCTCCTTCTCTCTTTTCATTATGCACTTCGTTGTGATTCTCACCAGAGAAAAACATGCCAAAGACAGCCACCAAAACAGTCTTCGTTGACATTGCGATCATAGTGGTTTCTTCTTCTTTTTATTTAATAAGTTTTGTATATTTTTATCCAATCCTAAGCCAAGTTCTTCAAATGCTTCATAGGATGAATTGTTCCCGTCTATAAACATCAAACGTTTTGTGTTTTTTTTTTCAGACAGAAGATATTCAAGTGTTTGGGGGGATTTTCCTTATCCTGCTAATCAAATGCAGCTACTAAAATTATCCTTAAAAAAAAAAAAAGAAACACCGTTATCCTACCCAGCCTAATCTAAGCTACTAAAATTAAGGCATCCAAAGGTTTGAAACACATTTGGTATTTACCAAACAAATAACTCGAGAACTTAATAGGACAAGTCATTTACTAAAGAGAAATACCGTTCGTGGAAAAAACTTGAGATTACTTAAATGATTATACAAACCTAACACCCCAAAACATAAAAATCAACACTCACCTAATGTTTACGTTTTTATGTTTTGTGACTTTATATATTTTCCAAATTGGAGATTATACAATGCATGGATTCTGAACAAATAGTTGTTGTTCATATTCGAAGTGGTTAGAAAATTGCCAAAAGTTGGCATGCATGGGTTCATAGATTCAATTCCCGCATGCATGCTCAGAGAGTCGGTGACGGCTCATTTGTTTGACGAAAAGAACCAACGCTTTCCCTAGTATGAACTTGACTCGATTGAATGCATTCGCTTTCTAAATCCCTCTATTGACCTTTATTTCGCATTTGATTCACGATGCAGAGAACCTGTTCCTTGTGCAGCACTTTCATGGTCAGCTTGAATAAGGAGGGAGTGCTTCGAAGTTACGTATAACTATTATCACGTGTCTCTTTTCATTTATTTATCATTTTTTGGGTAAACGCTACGATTAAGTTGGAATATCATCTATATCAAGAACAGTGTCTTACATGTCAAAACAACATCACTAGGATTGTTCTGAACGCAACTCAATGTGATCCACATGCTGCTACAGTGGCCCTTCGGAAGGGGGTTGTGTTGGTCGAAACCATTGGGTTTCTCGATCTACTTTGTAAGGTGGCTGAACTTGTAATTAGGACTGTTATGATCAAGCAGAGCATGAATAGACAAAACGATTTGAGTAAGAAATAAATCGAGGGAATTAAATCTGAATACAGACGATTTATGTGGTCCCGTGGTGTGCCTACTCCACAAGAAGAGATTGATGAGATGATTTCAATGTGATCGGTAAAGAGGAAATTACAATCGTTTGAATACTACTCTTGCATTTCCCAATTCTAAGTAACATCCAACATCATAAGAATCAATCATAAGAAATTGGTTTGCTCACTCTCTTGGATGAGCAAACCGATTATTTGAAGTCTTTTACAAAATAAATATCAACGTAGGGCTTTAATCTCCTCTAGGCGTCGACCGGCTAGAATAGGCCTGGCAATCCGAGGACAGGCCATTTCATTGGAAATTGTTTTCGCATCTAGAGATTTGCTGCGTGTTCGGTCCGACAACTGGCCGCACCCAGGCCAGGTACTCGTCTAAGCGCCTGTTTAGGTTCACTTTGGTCTACAACGTTCTCATTACAACTCTACTCCCCACATCTGCTGTGATCATTCATCTTCCATTTTTCAATCTATGCTTGAAAATTTTTAATTATTTCTTTTTGATCCAAAAAATTGGGGCAAATTTGGGTTTTTTTTTATTAATGTTTCTTTATGTAGACTCAAGTGGCATGGGAGAAATGTATTATTTTTGGATTAAAGTACCTTCGGAAAAGGGGGTGGAACGTGCGTGGGACGAGCAAGTGTTCAATGAACGGTCATTATATTCAACGTTTATGAGCTCAAGGGGCAATTGGATCAAGGTAATCAAGTCGAGGGGCATCTTGGGACAAAGTCAACTTTAGCGGGAACTTTGAGAATCGAGCACCGCTTTAGGGTTACTAATTCAAAGCGATCAAGTTGAGGGATACTTTGGTACAAAGCCAAGTCTGGAAAGAACTTTGAGAGACGGATGCCACTTTAGGGGAGTTTGGAATTTTCCTTAAAATGAGTAACAACAATACAACATTAAATAATCGACAAAATAGTGAACTAAGAGAGTCCTCTCAATTTTATTAACTTCTCATTAGATTCTAAATTGAAATAGTCATTTCCATTCTACAACTATTTAAATTCACCAATAAAAGTTCTCCTCTCTTTTTTCCTTTATTTTTTTTAGAGAATAGACACCAGAGGTCCCCGAACTTTGTTAAATTGTTCAATTCAGTTTTCCAATTTTTTTTATGCAATCAGATCCCTAAACTATATTTTCTTTTCAAGTTAGTCCTTATGTTAGAAACAAAGATGTTGACATGGATTGACACATCAACATTGAGTAGACAAATTAACGCTTACATGTAATTTTCTTGTGCTAATTGGATAAATTATTTAAAAAAAATTAAAAGAACCAAAGCTATAAATAAAGAGAGAGAGAGGGTGGGGGGGGGGTGGGAGGGGGAGCTATGAGGTGTGGCAATAGTGCCACCCACACGCCTGAGAAGGCTGACGAGCCCTTCTTGACCGTCATTAGGTTCATGCAACCCTGGCCAAGGTGTGGCAATAGTGCCACCCACACGCCTGAGAAGGCTGACGAGCCCTTCTTGACCGTCATTAGGTTCATGCAACCCTGGCCAAGGCTAGATTTGCCTTGGGGTTGCCCGACTCAAGCTAGATGTGGCTTAGGGTTGTGCGGTGATACTCGGAGTTGCATGACCCTCGACGTCGCATTGGCGGGTCGTGCGATCCCATTTGTCACTAGGCCAAGGTCGCGTTTCCTCACTATCGCTTGTTGGGGTTTCGCAACCCCTGATCAATGGCCACCTAGGTTGCATGACCCCCGATCTACAGCTGAACAGGCTTCTCTACCTGTTCGTCTTTTCTTTGTACATATCTTTTTTCTGCTTTTTTCAATACTTACTTTTTTTGTATTTCTTATTTGTGATTTTTTTTCACGTCATGTAGGGCCATGTCAGCATTAAATGGCCACTTAATGGCCACGTCAGCATTTCCATCCATATGTTTTATGGAATGACCAATTCAAACGTAAAAGCATATGGGATCCGATTGCAAAAAAAAGGTTCAGTGACTTAATTAAATAATTCAAAAAAATTGAGAAACCTCTGGCACTTTTTCTTTTTTTATTTACGCATATACATTTGCGCGTTTTCCCTTTCGGATAATACGAGAAAAGAAAACGTGAGGAACGACAGGAAATATCATAAATGTCATGTTCATTGTTTTGTAGTGTAGTTGGTACCACCAACAGACGGAATCTTAAAAGGAGGTTCAATTCAAACCGCCCGCAAAAGCTGTCGCACTTGGGAACGGGCCAGGTATGTACTCTATGGACTGTGCCTTTGAATTCGCCTCCTTTGATTGAGGACCATTCCCAAAAAATGTCTAGTCCCTTGATTGAGAATGTGCACATGTACTCTATTATGTAATGCACTTATGTTTTTGTGTTGATTGTGAATGTGTTAACATATAGATTTGTGGCATTTTTGTTTATTTAATATGAAAATTTTAAAGAAATATATCGTACCCTAAAGCCCATGGAGGCGACAGGGTTTTGATTCAAGACCATGTTGGGTTGATTTCGGATTTCAAAAACTTAGAAGTAGTGCCTACAAGATAAGTTTCAAGGTACGGCAATATCCTACTCACCCACATGTTCATAGATTAGGGCCTTAGTGAAATTAGGTATCGTTCCACACTTTTCTTTCTATGACAAGGAAGCCAAATTGTGGAAAGGGCAATCATGGCTCATGAAATACTCCACGAAATCAATGAATTAAAGGAGACACGAGCCATACTTGAGTTGGGGGGAACAAACGTGCATA